TTTACCCAAATATTAAGCACTTAAATATGATTCATGTGGTTTAATTTGCTTTATTTAATGAACTATAAATATTGCTCTGTTTCTCGTCAAATTGTACTTATTTATGTACAATTTTCTAATTTGTTTATATAACTTAATGTGCCTATAATTTAATCCTAAGATTACGTATGTACATAATGTTGGTGTGCTTGAATAAAAAATAAATGTTAATGTATTATATTTGTTTATATTATATATATACTATATTATATTATTGTTGTATTAAAAATAAGTGTTTTATTAAGTAATATTATTATTCCTGTATAATGCACTTCTGTCGATATCGATAGAATAAGAACACCACTAAACATCGATATAAATGATTTGAAGGATGTGTGCTTGCAATCTCTAAGCTATATTTTTTTTATTTATTTTATTACTCATCTGTCAAAATGGGTGACTGCAGCGCCAAAAGGTGTAGTTGGGAAACTTGACTAAAAGTCACTGTCGTATCTGTAGCTTGCGACATATATATTTAGCTTGCTACATATAACTATTTTGTGCATATAACATATATATTTATCTATGGGTGAACGTATATTTTGAGGTCTTATTTTCGCCTAAAACAAGTTCAAATTTGGAAAGAATACTATCAATATCAAGCTTAACTTTAGTTTAAATCAATTAAATTAAGTGACATACGGAGAAGACGACAAAATTAAAAAAAAATATAGTCTTTTTACCTCTTTTCTATAATGTCTGATTATAAAGTAGCTGAGTAGCACATTTTTTTGCCGCTTAAACTCAACGTTGTTCCCTATATATAATGTACTCTGTGACGTTGGCGTTCTAGCGGCCGATTACGTGTGTCGCTTGGTATATATTAGACGTGGGTCGTTACGTCATTTTCAAGAAACGTAACGAAACCAGTGACTCGGTCGGCGTCACCTGTTTTAAAACTAGTGATTTTTGTAACTGGCTATTTTTATTCGGCTACTGTGATTGTTTGCATAAATACCACCACCAAGTATACAGTTACACAAGAAACGAAAATAAATTTAATCAATATCTAAGAGTTTGTAGCTATACAATGAAATCAATAAATTAACTTCCCTTCATACTTTATTCAGGCTTAGGACTGACTGCATTAAATGTATTTATGATTAATTTGTATTTACTATGAAACTAAGATTTTCATAAAATTATTAATGCAGGCGTATTTACGAGTCAATTTGATTGTATATACAATGATTATTGATTATTTACAGTTTTTTTTACACTTTTTCAACGTTTTCACTGTCATTTGTTTTTGCACTTTTATTTACACTGTACAATTATTTTGTTTGTTTGTTTGGCTATTTACACAGTTAATCATATTTTATTTTTATTATATTATATTTACACAAAGTTTTATAATAATATACACATTTAATTTTTTATACACATTTTTAGTTTAATTTTAATTTTATGAATAAACGAGTTCATGACTCCGTCAAAAATCTTTTTGGATCTAAGTTAACATTTAAATACATCAATTGGGCAACTTTGTGTGTCTTCAATTGTGTGCGGCGGTTATTAATCGTAAGCCCAGTTTTGCTGAATATCCTCTCGCACGGAACTGAAGTTGCCATTATGTTGCCATACTTGCGTACAAGTATGGCAAGGTTAGGATAAATGTGGTGGTTATGTTGCCACCATTGCAAGGGACAGTTAAATTTCCCACTGTCGTTAAACATAGGTAGAATATTATCTTTTAAGTAAGAGTCTACTTCCTTGATGGCACACGACAAAGGTGTGCCTACTTGCTGCTGCTGCGACCCGACAATATTGTTTAAAATGGACCATGGTGAAAATTTATCTCGTACTGGTATGGAAGCTGGGGTTGAAGTGGATTGTTGGTTCTCTCCATGTCGTCGCCGTCTAATATCACTTGCAAGTATCTCTTCCAGCATTTTCTTTGCTTTTGCTGCCTCATTTGTGTCAGAGAACACATTAATTTTGTACCTTGGGTCTAAAATTGTACATATCGAGAACGTGCCACTTCTCTCAACACCTTCTAATCTTTTATCTAAGCCTGTCCGAAGTGCTGTAATTACACTATTTGTTGTAACATTAAAGTCTTCCAGAAGCAGTTGGTTACACGATTCTCTAAGACAGCGTGTCATGACTATGATGGTACTAGCTGTCATATAATCTTCACCACTCATAGCTTTCGTAGCTTCGTCGAAAGGTTTTAAAACTTTGCACAGTTCGTGAAATAATGCCCATTCCTCGACAGTTAAGATTGGTAAATCTTTTCTAAGAATTGCAACAGTGGCACATATTTGATTTTCTAGTTCAACAAATCGTTGTAACATAGCAAACGTAGAGTTCCACCTAGTTGGTACTTCCTGTATTAAGCGCTTCGGTACTATGTCAGGCTTTTCCTGTAATTGCGCTTTTAATAATTTTTCTAGGGCTGCTGTACTTATCTTAAAATGTCGAACGATCGTTTTAACTTTATCCAAAGAAGCTTTGACTAAATTTAGGGCATCTTCCACTATTAAGTTCAACGTATGGCCATAGCATCCATAATGCTTCCACCCTATATCAGCTATGGCTTTTTTGACGTTAGCTGCGTTGTCACTAACAATAAAATTTATTTTATTTGTTACATTCCACTCGTTGGTAGTTTCTAGCAATGCAGCTTGAATATTCGCACTGCTGTGCGTATCTTTAAACTCGGCACATTTTAATAAAAATGTTTTAAGAACAAGATCTTTCGTTATATAGTGCCCCGTAACAGCAATGTAAGCATCATTGACCCGAGACGTCCATAAATCTGTTGTTAGAGATAGAAATTCAATATCGTTTATTTCTTCTTTTTTTCGTAGAACTGTTTGGTCGTATAATGTGGGAATTATAATGTTAGAGACAGTTTTTCGCGATGGTAACTCGTACCCAGGTATATGTCGCGCAAATTTTTTAAAGGCACGTTCTTCTACTAAAGAGAAAGGGTGATAGCTGTCTATAAATAAATTGGCAAGGTCATTATCAATTTGTCTTTTTTTGGTTATTGTTACTTTTTTTCTAATTCCGTAGCTATCAATGCGCTGTTGCGCAGGCCGGTATATGGGTATGGTATTTGCAGCAGTAGACGTAGAAGCTGACGCAACATTGGAGCTGGACAACGAGGGCTGAGGTTGGAAATCGCCTGGGGGTTCCTGCCCACGACTTTGTTCTGGGGTCCTTGCCGTTGATTGCACAGTACTAATGCATGTATACGCATGGAGGTGTTTTCGCTTCAAATGTGTTTTCAAATTCGCAGTTGAAGTTTTGAAGCTATAAACTTCACCACAACTGTTGCATTTCGCTTTTTTTTCATTATCCAGTTTTTGAAAAAACTCCCACAAAGCACTAGAGTTCATTCGAGACATAATTATTTACAAGTTTTTTATTTACACTTTATTTAGAATTGTACAATCCGCGCTAATTATATTTATATTATATATAACAAGGAAACGTTACAGTAAATGTACATAAAACACCAAAATAACATTTAAATGTTAATTTTTACAAGAGAGTACAAGTACAACGATGAACTAATACAAACTAAATTATTTTACTTAAATTGAATTTAATTTCAATGGTTTGAGCTTCCCAGAATCGTAAACCGTTGAAATTATTTACAAACAGAGATCACTCTATTTAATTATCTATTTACTGTAGTCTTACGTATGAAAATTAAACGTACAATAATACTGTTACATACGCTGTTTTGTTTATTGTTGTATGCCACATGTGCGCTTTGCGCTCGACCTACCGACCATTACCGACGGTCGTAAGAATCACAGTTAACAGTAAATAGTAATAACGCATTTACAAAAATCACTACTTGTAATAAGGGTCGAAACTAGTGATTCGGTTACATGCCGCGTAGCCAGTTATTGTATCTAGTGACGTGAAATAACGCCCACGTCTAGTATATATAAAAGTACTCTGTGGTCGCTTGTAAGCGTCGTTGGCGTTCAAAGGGTTAATTTGGTGCAGTCATTTTTCACATACGACTTCCAGATACCTCTTCCAAATTTTCATTACTGTATGAAATATTTAGTTTTTTAGTTGGTGTATTGTAATTCGAAAATGTAATAAATTTTGTTTTTGAGACATTCGCACGCAAATTATTGGTTTCTAGCCAGGTCAATATGGACCTATAGAAGAATTTAACATTCTTTTGAAGTCACTTACGTTAAATTTTCTTTATTTAGTTTTGGTATGACGATGGAAATGTCATCGGCAAAAAGTATAGACTGATGAGGTGTCGTAGTCGGTGTCATTTATATATAATAGAAATAACAGTGGTATATGCCTTGGGACGTGCGGTTATGCTTTTCATCAATACGCGTCACTTCAACACATTGTTGCCGATTTTCTAAATATCATTTTAACCAATTTAATGCAGGCCCACAAATTCAATATTTTTCACATTTGTCTATTAGAATAATATGGTCAACACGGTCAAATCTCAAATCAAAGTCAGTCTTTGACATGTCATCAAATATGGCAACTACTGGTACTTTTTTGTTGGTATAATCAGTTTTTTTTTTATAATAATAATCTTTATTTCCCACATAATATATCAGTTGACAATATATCTATTTATAAACTACACAGGAATATTTTATCTCAAAACATGAAAAATAGCATCCATTGCCGAATGTAATTAAGAAAATGGTGCATGTGTTGTGAATTTTCCTTTTTGGAATCCGTTCTGTTCTTTAAGGAGAATATTATATTTTGTCTACTATATTTTGTTTGAATATTATGTTTAAAGTAGTCGTAAGTTCTACTATACATTGCGATCAAATATATTCGAAAAAACAAATGGTATTAGTGTAATAGGTATGTAATAGGTTTATTCGTTATGATCACCGTTTTTATAGAACGGTTGCACAATTGACTTTTTTAGTTTTTCGAGTAACTTGTTGGGAACCCTGGGTAAACAATAGATTTATGAATTTTGCAATAATAGGACTTATATTATCAGCACAATCCTTTATTATATGAATAGAGACTGAATTAGTATCCACAGACTTTGTAATTGTTTAAGGATTTAATTATTCTTATAATTTCATTTATGGAGCATGGTCGTAGAAACATGCTATGCTCGAGGTTGTCTAAACGCGTCCTGTTTCTTTTTTTTTAATCAATTTTTATGTCATGGATGTTAGCAAAATAGTTATTCAATTTATCTGCTATCTATCAAAATCTTTATTGTCTGTATTATCATATTCATTATTTTTAATAATGTCCCAGGTTGTCTTACATATATTCTTAGATTTTATAATTAAATTATTTATTTTCTTTTATGGCCAAATAATATAAGATTTGAGTAATTTTGAACATTTAGTATACCGTTCTTAGTTTTTAGTATTTTGTTTTTAGAATAGATGTATCTCAATTTTCTTTTGGTAATATTTATATTGGAATTGTTCGGATTAATCCCAGCCGCCAAATTTCACTAACGCACATCGCGGCAGAACTCCCGATACCATCCACACCATCTGGATGATTGGCGGTCCACCACTGTGCGATTTAGAAGATGTTTTCTTCCTCGCACGACCTCCTTGTGGAATCGATTACCATCAGCGATTTTTCCGGACCGATACGACTTAGGGACCTTCAAGAAAAGAGCGTACTCCTTTTTAAAAGGCCCGCAACGCATCATATTCCCCTGGTGTAGCAGTTGTTCATGGGCGGCGGTAGTCACTTACCATCAGGTGAGCCGCATGCTCGTTTGCCCCCTCTCCTATAAAAAAAAAAAAAATATATTTATACCCATAATAATCCACTTAGGTGCTTGAATGCTAAAGTTTATCTTACACCTTTGAGTGGGAAAGTAAAGATTATATAGTAAGCACAACATTTATTGAAATTTTGGTCTTAGTCACCCTTAACTTTTTATAAACCATATAACTAACCTATGAGATATTCTACAGTTATTAAAATTAACAAAGTATAATATTAAGGACATACAATACAACAGATAAGATGCACTATATGACTAACACCTACTTAAGCTATTTATAGTATAATAGCTACATCTTGGTAATAAAAAAACAACTAATCTTGCCTAGTTACGTATGAGAATAAATTAACATTTAACCTTATTTAACTAAGCAGATGACATTTCTAGTATTTGAGTACTAATGAAGATCTATAAAAATTCTATCATTTTTTTAAAGGCAAGTATTCCCCGAGAAATGCCACAATTCACGGCCGTAATCCAAATATATTATACGTAAATATTTCATTTACAAAAAACAAACCGACGTGAAATATCTTATATCTTAAGGAATATCTTATTATACTTAGTTATACTAAAAATGCACAATGTGTTATAATGATAATGCTAAAGAACACTAGTATGTTACACATCGGGCTTCTGGTCACCAGGTAGAGGATTAAGTAGTGTCGCCAATAAATTGGACATATCTATATTCCTACGATAAATCTGAAACAAAAAAATATATTAAAATTTAGAACAAAAACTGAGTATTATAAGATATTTAATATTTACATATCATAAAAGTTGGCTTAAATTTAAGAAATGGTCTTCCATTCTATATCAAATGACATTAGAAAAAGAAAGCAAATTATTTTAATTAATGTAAGCGATATTTAACGAATATACGGGTAGTAAGGCCGATTATTATTAATATTTAGAATAAAGGAAATATTTTGACTACCAAGTTACACTCATTTAGAAAGATATAATCACAATGGCCAGATTTTTTTTTAATTTTGACTTGTTAAAGCTTTTGTGAACATCAAAGCCTACACTTGTTCGGAAAATATGACCTTCTCAGCGAAGAAACGGCAAGGATCTCTGGGGTCTTTTATTTTTTAAATACCAAATTTCAATTTCATTTGCATATACTTACTCTACATGGGTTTTGCGAAATTAAAAAAAAAAATCATTCTACGGCTAGAGTTGTAATCAAACGTATACAATACACGCTTGTTTGAAATTTTTTTGAACATTTTATATTGTATAGATATAAAATGTTCAAAAAAAATTTAAAAACCAGCAGCAAAATAATTGACAAAACATTTTACCAGTCCGCCTCAGACACCTCTTTTACGACCTGCTCGATTGCTGCTAGCGCATCTTCCGGCACTGAAACCTGTTTAACTTTCAGCTGATTTTTTATTTTAGGGAATAAAGACCCCAAAGCTAACCGGTGTGCTGTACAGGAAGTCCCTAGTTTTGAGCTAGTGTGCAAATCCGATATCACGCGTAGCCCCGTGTTCGGTTCTTGTTGCTCACAGCAGTAAACTCTTCTAGCAAGCATTTGGTAGTATACCATTCGGCATAGATGCTACTTTTATTTCTATACAGGTTTATTTTGCAATTACAAATTTGCAGAGAAGGGTCAGAATAAGTAATATAGGCAATTGGTAAAGACAAAAAATTAATTAAAAAAATTTCAAATAATGATTTCTTATATCAACGCGAAGACTATACATTAAATGAAACTAATTTTTACGGATTGTATCGCGTTTAATTTAACGTTTTAATTCCCGATGTTTCGTCTTTCGTCGGGATTTTTTACGGACTCCGTCGCGTTTAATTTAACTTTTTAATTCCCGACGTTTCGTCTTTCGGGTGGTTTCGTCGTTTGGTCTTCGTTCCGTGACCATGGGAGCTGTAACACACATGCACAAGAAGTCACAGGAGGGACTGATGTGGTTGACGTCCCGATATCATAGATAGCCCGACTACCTTCAGATTTTGAATATTAATTTTTGGTGCGATCTACGCAGAATAAGCTTTAATAAAGCAACTACTGATTTAATAAAGAAATACTCCGAAAAATTATCATCATGTGCCAAACCACCGAGGTTGTATGGGTTATCGAAAAAACGTAAACCAAACGTTCCACTACGTCCCATAGTGAGCCAGATCGATTCACCAGCTCATAAGTTGGCTCAATACTTGCCAAAAATACTGTCACCACACAGCAATGTATACCTTTCTTAATAGCTGATCTGGCATAGCGTGACGCAGATTTTTGAAAATCCGAATGAGTTTCCGGTTTGTAGTCATAATTATTTCAATGTGGGAGTGCCACGAAAATCTGTGGTCCACTGTTACTCCAAGACATATTGTGGATTTGACTCGTTGTATGCTCTGACAGTCACAGCTACCAACAAACGGATCGTCACACCTATGAATCCTGACCCTAAAGTCGTCCCCCGGTTGTGATCTCACTTATAGGGTAAAACGACATAGGATTTTGGCTTATGGTCTGACACAACTGATAACTTTGCGTACGCGGATTCCAGATGTGGAAGATGTTGTACCTTCTGCTGTGGTTTGCTGTGCTGTGGTCCCAGTTGGACCTTCTGCTGACCTCTCATTCAAATAGATATCAGGTCCCCGTCCACTCCACCCTTGGCTGCTAAGACCATTGTTTAGTCCGGAGTGTGGTGCCACTGTCACTAACATCGCGATTGCATTCTGCAGGTTGGCTAAAAAATGCGACCGCTCAGACCTGTCTCTAGCTATGCCTATTGCTACCACCTCTTTGTTCTCCAAAATAATGGAATGCATTATAAACTGCCAGCTCATGCGGATCTTGAGGATCACCAGCTGATTAGTGACCGCAAATACGGTTTTCGTCGCGGTCGATCAGCTGGTGATCTCCAGGTCTACCTGACTCATAGATGGGCGGAGGCATGAGTCAAAGGGGGACGCAATAACCGTTAGTTTGGACATTGCGAAGGCCTTCGATCGGGTTTGGCACAAAGCGCTTCTTTCGAGGCTCCCTTTCTTACAGATCGGAGCATCTCAGTTTCAAGGCAATCCCCTTGTTGCCTCAGCCAGTATCGGTATCCTCGGCGTCGACATATCGCGTGTCGTGCAAGTTTCGTGGTCACTTGGAAGAGAAGGCCAAATTGGCTTCTGAAATGCTTTGCGTGCTTAGCAGAGCGGGACAGTATTTTATGCCGGCATACCACCTACAACTTTACAAGGCGCAGGTTCAGCCTCACATGGAATACTGTTCCCATCTCTGGGCTGGGGCTCCCCAGGGCTTTATTAAATAATATAAAACTGTTTTTGGTACCAACAATGTGGCTTTCTTCAAGTTTTTTTTAAGAAATCTCTCTCTGATAAAAAATTATTTAAGGCCCATGGCCAGCCACGCCGCGACGCCGCCGTCGTGGAATTGAGCTTCGGCGCTCATATCTAATCCATATGCCTACGCATACATCCTCGTTAGTTAAAGGTACTCTTAATTTGACTCATTTTGAATATATCGCCAATTTGGTCGATAAACTTTCGCCTAGGGCAGTGGTCGGCAAAGTGCGGCTCCAGAGCCGCATGTGGCTCTTTGGCTCCTTAAGTGCGGCTCTGGCACAAATATCCACGGAAGGCGCTTATTTCGATGAATTAAAATTCTTCTATAAATCGAGAACATGTATAATTTATTGTTTAAGTTAAAAGATAGATAATTAAAATTTTATATTGTTGTAAAAATACGTAACGAACATAAGAGTTTAATTTTATTAGTTTTCGTAAACGTAAACACAAACCGTGTTGTGCACCGGCTGAAATTATTCGTATGTTTTCGGCGTACACCGTTGTGATACAAAGGTAAGGTACCAAGCACAAGCATGCGAGTGCATTCTTTTTCTAAAGTAGTGGGGGTACAAATCAAAAGTGCAAAATACAAATTCGCATCTCAGACCAGCAAGCAGTCGTAGTGTGAAGAGTTTTGTCTTATCTACCGTGTCTGCCGTTGTCGTGTTTTATTAAAAATTTGTTGTATTTTTCAATCTAGCTAAATAATCTTAATAGTAATCTTCACATCTTACAGGTATTTATATACGATTTTATTACACGTGCTATGTTTGTTTGTAGATCCGGTACAAAATTTGCTATCGATTTTTTCGATAAATTCAATTTGTCCAAATGTTAGAAGTTTTCTTCCATTTTTGGTCATATTAAAAGTTTTGTTATTCTGATGATGGAAAAAATTATTGTTTCTTTTTGGTGCAGTTATATCTATACAAATAAATAAAATAGAAGTGCCTGTTTGTATATAAAAATAATTAAAATTGAAGTGCCTGTTTGTAATGTCAAAATATATATAGCTTATATAATAGTATAGTATATATATATATATATATATAGTATAGTTATTAAATGCATATGAAGTTATATACGATACTTATAACAAAAACGTAATTTTTAAAATTTGTGTCTGTCTGTCTGTTGGTTCCGGCTAATCTCCGAAACTACGGGACGTACCGGGAGTAACTTAGGCTACTTTTATTTAAGAAAAAGAATTAGGGTTTCGCTCGAAAAACTAAAAAAACCATGAAATCCAATTGTAATAAATTACACACAGGCGAAGTCACGAGGAAAAGCTAGTCTATACACATAAATAAAATTGAAGTGTCTGTTTGTAATGTTAAAATAACAGCTTTTTACTAAATGCATATGAATGTATATATGGCACTTATAACAAAAACGTAATTTTTAAAATTTTTGTCTGTCTGTCGGTCTGTCTGTCTGTCTGTTTGTTCCGGCTAATCTCCGAAACGGCTTGACAGATTTCGACGGGACTTTCACTGGCAGATAGCTAATGTTCTACGGAGTAACTTACTTATATTTGAGAAAAAGAATTAGGGTTCCGCGCAATATAATTAAAACCCCAAATTACATGCGGGCAAAGTCGCGGGAGACAGTTAGTATATTAATAAAATTGTATTTTTAAAAAGATTTTTTTTAATTTTTATTTCATAAATTTAATAATGATAATAATTTTGTACTTGTGGCTTTAGGGAATTTTTGGAATATTTTTATAGGCACTCCAATCAACATGGCTACCAAAAAAAAGCAAAGAAAAACGGAAGATGAAAACCGCGAATTTCAAGTTGAGTGGACCGAGAATTTTGCGTTCATTCAAAACTTGAATGCACTTCCGACATGTCTTATTTGTAAGGAGAAATTCGCGCATAACAAAAAGTCAAATTTAGAGAGACACTTTACAAGAAAGCACGCGTCATTTAGCACTAAATATCCTACCGGTGATGCAAGAAAGAAAGCAGTTCAGGAACTTCAGAAGAGTCAAGAGTCGTCAACTTCTGTGTTTAATCTGTTAAGCCTTTGAAGTACACATGAGGCAATCCAAGGTCAACTTTGTAGAACGCTCCAAAGAGTATGGTAATATTTAGAAAGGACCCCTCAGAACCAAAGAGTATATGATCACTACACTACGTTTAGTCAGAACCATAGTTATTGTGCTCATAACAATTATTTTTTAAATGTTATTTAGATGAACTATAAAACTAAAATTTTATTAGAATTAGTTTCGTTATTAAATTACGCTTCTTTAAATTAACAGAATTTACTTCAAATGACGAGTTTCCGCCTCGCGTCGCGTTTACGTCACATACTTTAGTCTTATATCCTTCGCCGCGTGAGTGTAAGAGGCAACTAGA